ATAGATAGTCGATAGGTATATATGTAAATAGTCATATACATATAGATAGATAGATAGATAGATTTATATTTAATTATATAGATAGATGAATATCAGTAATTCTGGACACACACACACACACACACACACACACACACACACACACACACACACACACACACACACATATATATATATATATATATATATATATATATATATATATATATATGTATGTGTGCGTGTGTGCGTGTATGTATGTATGTATGTATGTTTACCTACGTGTACGTATTTGCAATTTTTTTACGGATGGAAAAAAGGTTGACAGATTTAACGATGATTGAACGAAAAACCGCTTGTATGAACTTGTGTGGTTCGGCGTACGGCAGTGTGTGCGCGTCCCTTCATTTGCATAAAGACGGCTTGAATGACAGAATGATTATCATGAATGAGGAACCATTGTCGCTCGCCTCACAGGTACACACAGAGGCATGAGCGCACAGCGTCGCCTCAACAGACTTGTCAAAGAAGGAAAGGCACTTACATCTACACAGACATCTGCGTTCACAGTGCACAGATATTATTCACACACACACACACACACAGATGTATGTGTGTTTGTGTACACAATGGCATATACAGCCATGTACCATACACTCACGGGCACGTATGCAGTCGTAATACGTACACAGGAATCATTGTACTAAACATAACACCATAATCTGGCAAGATGTGAGCACAGGTGAGAGGAAAGGGCCAGGTGTACTGCCTTAGAGACGTGTCAGGTGTTACATCATACAGACACATGCGCGCATCATGTCATAACATAATCATGTTGCTATCGTTTTTATTCTATGTTCATTATCATTCATCATCATCTCCATCATCTCCATCATCATTATCGATATCATCATCGTTAACATCATTATCATTGTCATCCTCATCATAATCATCATCGTCATCATCCTAATCATCATCATCGCCATCATCATTATCATCGTCATCATCATCACCATCACCATCTCCATCGTCGTTGTCGTCGTCTTCATCATTATCAACGTCATCATCATCATCATCATCGTCATCGTCATCATCATCATCGTCATCATCATAATCAACGTCATCATCATAATCAGCGTCATCATCATTGTTATCATCATCGTAAGATTGATGGATAGGGATATGAAAAGATCGAATGAAGCAGAGAAATGGGATACAAGAAAATACAAGAGAATGCGTGATGATGCAGGAGGAAAGGAGATGAATATGGCGAATGGATAGAAACCGAAGAAAAGGTAATGAGAGGTAATGCGAAAAATTAGATAAAGAAAAAAATGTATAAAAAAAACGTTTTCATATGCAACGAAAGAAAAAGGTAGGCATTTTCTATTTTTTATGGGGAAACTATAGCAATATAGCGAAATACACAAAATTCTATTTCGTTATAAATCGCTTATGTTATCATCTTTTAATTCACTATGCATTTTTATTCATTGTTCTTATTTGATTTTTATACCAAATTTGCTTTATAGTCTCGTATTCTTATTTTTTCTTTTCTTTTTTTTACACAATGTCCCTCTATAATCCCCCAAAATTTGAAACAATTTAATCGCATTATATTTTCCACTAAAAAAAAAAAAAAAAAAAAAAAAAAAAAAAAAAAGTCAAAACTACTCAACCTTGTTATTGAAATATATTCCTACCGACTGAGTACACCTGATGATGTAAGTAAAGACGTAAAGATGTTCCACGTTACAAGTTGTTAATGACCTGACTGGCCCGTTTCCCTATGGTAATGAGAGCCTCTGTATAGCGGACGCGATCGTAGCGGTTGTGGTTCAGGCTTGCGGCTGGACGAGGTGTCGGGGCAAGAAAGTGTGTAAAGTGAAACTGATATCGTCAATGATCTTCCTCTTGTTATTTTCGAAATTATGTAGCATGAGACTTGATCTAATGTAACAAAAAGGAGAAGAAAATCGATATTTATAAACAAAAATAAATATATCAATAAATAAAATCTTTTGGGTGTCACGGTACTCCAAGATAAATTTCATCCTTAGATGTCGTTGGGAACTAAATCCTTATCCTAGCAAGCGAAAAGCAGCTCAGCGACGCTATTGCATAAGACGTATTCTTAAATCCCAGACGAGCGGCTCCCGGATATAAACCGTAGAGCGACGGCAGATGTTCAGATGTTCAATGGCCTGTTCAGCGTAGGCCGGAAGAACACGCTCCGAAACATGTGTAATTGGGTATGTTGTGAAATTCGTAACGTGTGTGAGGGCTGAGTTCATTTAACACTCATCATTGTTTTGATTTCATGTATGTATTAAGAGGGGAAAGAGAGAGAGAGAGAGAGAAAGGGAGATGAAGAAATAGAAAGAGAGGGTGAGGAAGAAATAGAAAGTGAGAGAGAAAGAGACCAAATGCATGTATTTTCTACGCCTTCAATTAGGTTCAAGTGTTAACATTTGCGTTTTTTCTTCTTTTTCAGCCATGGACGGAGTCTTATCTCTCTTACTACTCCTCGGGGCATGTGCCAGTGGCGGCGCCGCCCTTCCCTCGCCCAACCACAGAATTGCAGGCATCTTCCACGCCCACAACCCTCCACCGTTGTCCAGCCACACAGGAACGATATTAGCGAGCAATAGAAAATTTTCCCGACGTGAGGGGCCTTCCGTCCAAGGCAGCGGGGGATCAGCGCCCGGCCGGAGAGCTGACGCGGGATTCGCCAATCCGGAGCGAGCGAGCCCCCACGGCGGAGGTGCATCGGCCAATCAGAATAGGGCTTCCGACTCCAACCGACGCATCGCTTCCTCCTCCTCGCTAAGCGGTCCCCATGTCGACATGATGCTTGAAATCCTCGACGAACTCCGGGACCTCGAAGGAGAGGCGAGAGGAGGCGGAGGCGCCGTCCTCGCCGCAGACGTGTATCAGGGGAAGAAGACCCTGGTATACAAACTGGCCCCCGGGAACGCCATCTTCGGCGGGAAGATCAGGAAAACGAATCCCGAAGCGAACAGTGAGGCGGCGCCGAATCTGCAGGAGAGATTCGACTCCAATGGCGTCGTTTACGCGATGTCGGCGTCGGACCAGTCGCACACCCGCCGACCGCAGGTGTCAGGCCGCCTGTCAAAGTCCCGGTCCCAAGTCGGCAGTTCCAGCACACGCCCTTGCCCCCTCGCCCACCGCCACGCGCCCCCGTAGACGCCACCGGGACGACCACCACCTGGAGACTCCACTACATGAAGCCACCGCCGCCCATCTCCGCCATGCACAACCCTTACCTCACAACCCGCCGCCCTTCCCCGAGGCCCTCCCGCCCGCCCCAAGTCCCTAACCGCTGGAGAAAGAGAAAACCGGCCGCGAGTTTTGTGCCCACAATCTCCGAGGCGTTGTTCTATCCCCTGGGGAAGGCGGTGCAGGTGGCTCGCACGAAGGCGCGGGGAGCGTGGGTGTCATTCCTCCTCCTGCACTACCTGGGCTTCATCCCCCCCGTGCCAGGAGTCCCGCGTCATGAGGACCCTGACGACGTCCCCTTCAGCCTCATGAACATGCTCGCGCGGTTCCTGTGATACTGCGACGACCCTCGCGCTGTTGGGGTCCTCGCTGGCCGCCTCTGTGACCGCCAACAGCTTCCCAGATCGTAGCTTTTATGACGTGTTCCTCGGAGCATCAGTTCCTGCTCGTTTTCTATTTATCCATTTATCTATCTGTATATTAACTCCTCTCTTTCATTCCTATTTATGTTTTCCCAACATGATTCTATTTAGGATGCCCATGGACATTTTTTTCTAAAACGTTTTTGACCTTATTTATTAAGATTTCTTTTCTCTCTCACACTTTCTATTTGAGTGCCTTCTTAATTTTAAAATCCCTTTCCTTTCTTTCTGTTTTATACATAGATCGTTAATTTATTAATTTATTTATTATTGTTCCTCTTATAATGCTGTGTTCCCTATCCTGACGTCGAAACCCAGAAAGGGCATTGTGTGCGGGTAGCAAACTGTGGCCAAAACATGTGTTGTAGTGTTTGATTACAAACTATTTTAGTGTTTAACAGCCATGAGAAAAAAATACTTATAAACAAGAAAATCAACAAAGATGTGAAATACAAGAACGGATATTACCATCTGTGTTTGTAAAAAAGCAAAAACACAACGAAATACCAACAAAAATGTGCTGCTTTTTCTTAATGACTGTTTTGAACATTGCGAGTGACCGGTGCGCAACCAACTCGAACGGACTAAGAATAGAAACTATTATCATGATACAGTTTCAAGTGTAAGCAAAGCATTGAGTGACTAATACTTTTATTAGTAAACCATTTCATGCATCTGTACTATTTATTACATTTTCAATTAATAAAGTTGTTTTCTGTGTTATTTTTTCTTACCTTTCCTTAATCATTGTTATTATGACCTTTTGGTGAGTAATCATTTAGTAAAATTTCGGTCTTTTTTATGCAGATTTAGTGTCATTTGATTCAACCTCTAGCATCCCTTTTAAAAATTTATTTCAGTTCATTCAGTTTCGTGATTCAACAACTGTATCCTTTCCATGTTCAGGCATCCAAAAAGTTATAACAGGAAATACGATAAAGAGACGAGATATATTGGTTATATATTTATTTCTAAAAAAAAAAATTCACTATGTATATATACATGCACACACACACACACACACTCAAACAAACAAATACAGACTCATATATATCTGCCCATGTATCTATATATACATACATATGTACATCATATATTTGTAATTCACCATTTAAGACACTCCTTATATACAGTATTAAATACAATAATAAAATATACAATTATGGCACATGCACAAGGTAACCGTGCAAAATAATATATCTATATATCACAGACAAGGTATAAAGGCAAGAATGTATCACAAACTTCGTCCAAGTGGTTGTCCTTCCTTTCATTTCCTTGGTTTTATTTTCCTCGAGTAAGTGGCAATACATTGTTCTTTCGGTGTAATATTTCATTTTGTTCCTTTTTCTCACATAATTACTTTCAGATTATCTAAGAGTACTGACCTGTCTATCTCTTTATTTTTCATCTTTCCCTTTTTTACTCTTTCTCTTCCTTTTCTTTTTTTGCTTTCATTTCCTTGTTCTAATACCAAGCAGTTTCTAATGCAAGACTCAAAGTCACTGTCCAAGCACGTTTCTGCTGATGTGATTTTCATCTTCATGTCTTTAAAAATCTCAACATTCGAAAATCAGGTGTTTGCCTGTGCAGTTCTACACCTGTTAGTATAATAATAAAAATCGAATATCAAAAGTTCTACATGTTTGTCTCTCCTGAAAATCACTTACACATTCACTGGTCTTTCTTGTAAAAAAAATCATAATGTAGAACACATTATTTACAAAGACACAACCATTTGTCCATTACCCTGATAAACCCCAAGGAGAACTTTTTTCTGCCTTAGGAGTTTCTATCACTTTTTTGGAATGTGTAGTATTTTTTGTACTTTTTTATTCATTTGTATAAAATAACATCCTTCGAATATATACACCCTTCTTCATTGTTCCCTTTGGTCACCTTGCAACTCTTCTGGAACGCCTTTTCAAGTAGTTGAAGCTTCATTCCACCTAGTCACTCCAACCGACTGACCCAACTAAAGCTTCTACAAGATTGAGCCCAACCAGGTAAAAAGGTCGGGGCTTAAACAACCTCAAAAATAAAGCTGCACCCGAGAGCTCAACCTCGAAGTGGGCGGAGCACAGCTATTTCCCAGCATGCTCACGCCGCCTCCCATTGGTCTTCTAGATCGAGGGGCGGGGCATAGCTGAAGCCCTGGAAGACGTGGTCGACAGCTTGCACGGAGGCCGACAGTCCTTGGGGCGAGGCCGGGGACTGACCTATGACGGCCTCCTTGGTGAACATCGGGTCGACATTTCGCGTGTCTGTTTCGCTGCTCTGTTGGAAGAGAGGAAGTTACTGAGTTTTTTGGAGAATGTAAAGTTGTTTACAAGTAAGCGCAAGAAGGTAAAACAACGGTGGGTAGTAGGGTATGATGCAGCTGTGTGAAAACTCTCTCTCTCTCTCTCTCTCTCTCTCTCTCTCTCTCTCTCTCTCTCTCTCTCTCTCTCTCTCTCTCTCTCTCTCTCTCTCTCTCTCTCCCTCCCTCCCTCCCTCCTCTAGCCCCAACTTACCACCGAAGGCACGAAGGGCGGCGTCAAGGCTCTCTTCTCCACTTTGTCCCAGTCGATGTCCTTGAAGAACTCGTCTTTCTTGACGTCCTCGCCGTCCAAGAGGCCCGCGCCCAGCCTGTCATGCGGGTCCTTCTGGAGGAGCTGTCGGCGAAACAGGAGTATGCCTATATACGTATGCCTATGTAAACGTACCTATTCAAGTTTGAAATACATTTTTACGAGTATGATATGTACGTAGAGATACATACATTCATACAAACAAAGATATTCACATACTCATTTATGTTTATGTATGTAGATATTTCCAGGCATTAAGCCAAGCTCGCCTCCGGACTTACCCCTTCCAAGATCGCCCTCGCTTTCTTGCTGACTGTCGCCTTCAGCTTCAGCGGCTTGGTCAGGATGGCGGTGTACATGGCGTGCGTGTCGCGGGAGTAGAAGGGCGGGAGGCCGTACAGCATCTCGTACAGCACGGCGCCCAACGTCCACCAGTCGACGGCGCGAGAGTACGGCTGCGAGGAGAGGTGGGGGAAGGGGGGGGGGGTTAGTATAGGCAAGGGAGACGGCTCCAGGATTTTCCTTTCGTTTTTAATTTTTCTCTTTCGTTAGAATTAAAGCTAGACTTCCTTCCTGATTTTCTAAGCTGAATAAGCAGATGTAAACACAAGTAAGACAGCACAGATATGCAGCAGTAAGCTTTATGTCAACTTTTTTACTTTGTCATACTGAACTGACAAAAAACGAAAACACGGAATAAATAATACACACAACATACAAATATCGCCACCCTCACACACACACACACACACACACACACACACACATCCCCCTCCCCTCAACACACACGCATACACCAACACCCCCACCCCCACCCCCACACAACAAACCTTCCCTCACCTGCTTCTTCAAGATCTCCGGCGCCAGGTACTCCGGAGTCCCGCAGAAGGTGGACGTCTTGGAGGAGGAGTGCAGGAGGCCCTCCTTGCACAGGCCGAAGTCGGTGAGGACGATGTGGCCCGCCGTGTCCAGCAGGATGTTCTCGGGTTTCAGGTCGCGGTACACGATGCCCTGGGAGGAGAGGAAAGGGGCCTTCGAGTTTTGCTTTTGTTATTTCTCTTTTGCTGGCTCGTCTGCGTGTTTGTTTGTTTTGTTTGTTGTTTTGGTTGTTGTTTGCTTATCTAGTCATTCGTTCATTCATTCGTTCACATCGATTTCTTTACGCTGCCATCATTCTCTCTCTCTCTCTCTCTCTCTCTCTCTCTCTCTCTCTCTCTCTCTCTCTCTCTCTCTCTCTCTCTCTCTCTCTCTCTCTCTCTTCTCTCTCTCTCTCTCTCTCTCTCCTTCTCTCTTCTCCTTCTCTTCTCCTTCTCCCCTCTTCTCCTTCTCCTTCTCCTTCTCCCTCTCCTCTCTCTTCCTTCCTCTCCTCTCCCCTTTCCCTCTCCCCTTCCCCCTTCCTCTCTCCCTCTCTCCACTCACCTTCGTGTGCATGTACGTGAGGGCGCAGCAGATCTCGGCAGCGTAGAATTTTGCTCTGGACTCCATGAACACGCGCTCCCGTTGCAGGTGGAAGAACAGCTGGAATGAGAGGGGCGGGGCTTAGAGGCGGAATGCGAAGGGCTGAATGGGAATCGGAGGGTTTGGTGGAGTGGGAATTGAGGTTTGGAAATGGGGGGGGGTATGCTGGAGTGGGAATTCAAATCTTGGAATCAGATGGTATGGTGGGGTGGGGACTGGGAATTGAGAATCAAATTGAATGGCGGAATGGAAACAATTAGGAATCGCATGGAATGGTGCAATGGGAATGAAAAACTCGGAAGTAATTGGAGTGGAGGTTTAGGATTGGGAATCAAATGGAACGGTAGGTTGGGAATTCAGGACTGGGAATGGAATGGAATGGAGGAATGAGAACGTATTTCAATCACACATTTGTCTTGTAGATATCTGTTAGTGATATTACCTGAAGAGTTATTTCTTTTTTCCCCATCTTTCTCTCCTATTACTAGCTCTTTCCCTCCCCCATCTTTCTCTCCTATTACTGTCTTTTCCCTACTCCCTCTCCCTCTCCTGTCCTCCCTCTCTCTTCCTATCCTATCTCTCCTCTCCTCCCTCCACTCTCCTCCTCCTCTCTCCCTCTTCTCCCCTCTTTTCTCTCCTCTCCTCACCCCTCCTCTCCCCTAGCTCGTCACCTTTCCCTCTCCCTCTCCTCACCTCACTCTCCTCCCTCTCACCTCTCCCTCTCATCCTCTCCCTCTTCTCTCCCTCTCCTCTCCCTCTCCCTACCCTCTCCTTCTCCCTCTCCTCTCCCTCTCCTCTCCCTCATCTCTCTCTCTCTCTCTCCTCTCTCTCTCTCTCTCTCCTCTCCCTCTCCCTCTCTCTCCCTCTCCCTCTCCCTCTCCCTCTCCCTCTCCCTCTCCTCCCTCTCCCTCTCCCTCTCCCTCTCCTCTCCTCTCCTCACCCCCTCCTCACCCCCCGCCGTTGACGTAATCCAGGACGAAGAAGATTTTCTGGTGCGTCGTGAAGGCGAAGTGCAGCGTGACCAGGTACGGGTGCTGCATCACCTGGATCAGCACCGACCGCTCGCTCAGCACGTGCGCCGTCTCGTTTCTGCGGATGATCATTTTCTTGTTCAGGACCTGCAGGAAAAAAGGGGGCGGGGTGAGTTGAAGTCTTTTTTCGAATTGTTTTTTTCTTGGTTCTGTTTGTTGTTATGTTCGTGTGTGTGTGTGTGATTTCTCTTTCTTTCTTTTTTCTTTTTGTTTCTCTACTTCCTCTCTCTTTCTCTCTCTTCTTGTCTCTCTCTCTCTCTCTCTATCTCTCTCTCTCTCTCTCTCTCTCTCTCTCTCTCTCTCTCTCTCTCTCTCTCTCTCTCTCTCTCTCTCTCTCTCTCTCTCTCTCTCTCTCTCTCTCTCTCTCTCTCTCTCTCTCTCTCTCTCTCTCCTTGTTTTTATTTCATCATCTAATCATATACAAAAATATTTCAAGTACCAAAGTTTTATAAAAGCCACAAAACATGAAATACGGAGGACGTTTTTGTTCCCCATTTGCTGTCTCTTTCACCCTCAGTTCTTAATTACCTTCACAGCGTAAACTTTGTTATCCTGGCGATATCTGGCAAGCATCACTCGTCCGAAACTTCCCTTTCCGACTACGCTCAAGAATTCGAAGTCTCCGGGTGTAAGGCTGAAGGTGAAGGCAAAACAAAAATCGTTCGGTCAACATTGTAATTGTATTTTCCCCCTAATATAATGATTTCATTGTCAAAATTGATAATACAAGAAACCTGAAAGTAAATTTATTGTTCAAGAGAAAAAGCACTTTGAAGCTTATATGCACAATCTAACAATACATCTATTTGCATATAATCCTTTTCTCTGTCTACCTGTGTGTGTGTGTGTGTGTGTGTGCGTGTGTGTGTGTGTGTGTGTGTGTGTGTGTGTGTGTGTGTGTGTGTGTGTGTGTGTGTGTGTGTGTGTGTGTGTGGTGTGTGTGTGTGTGTGTGTGTGTGTGTGTGTGTGTGTTTTGCTACACTAGGTGGATACTTAGTAAGCCAGAGATAGATAAGGATTCTACTCTCAAAGGCTATAATCCCACTTACGATTTCTTAGTGCAGCCAAGATCGATGTCTTTTTCGGAGTCAAGCGAAGAAGAAATGTCATCCTCCTTAGCAGACTTTTTCCTGTGATTATTCGACGCTTGTTTCCTAAAAGAGGTATTAGTCATCAGTATGTAAGTATAAAATGCTATGTGAATATATAGTGATTTAATAGAGATGCAATAAACATGAATAAATAGTGGAGGCTTTCTTTACTTAAGTTCCCCCGTAACTTTCGTTTTCTCTGCATCAAAAAGTCAAAGAAAGTGGGTATGTGAATTGAATTTTATTTTGCTTTTTTAATATGATATATAACTGGTTTATAGTGTGGGGTTCTATATCTCTCTCTCATCTCTCTCTCTCTCTCTCTCTCTCTCTCTCTCTCTCTCTCTCTCTCTCTCTCTCTCTCTCTCTCTCTCTCTCTCTCTCTCTCTCTCTCTCTCTCTCTCTCTCTCTCTCTATTAACCTTGCGAGTGCTGGTGCTCCTGGTGGCATAAGAAGGCGAGGATCCAATACTACTGACGAAGGACTGGAATCCGGCGAGCTTGCAGAATCACTCGAACTGCTAGATGTGTCTGTGGTGCTCGATCTTCTAAATCTGTCGAGTTGTAGGAATTCGCGAACCTCCGGTCTATTGGGTAAGAGAAAACGGAAATTCTAGTTTAGCTTACAGAAAATGTAAAAAAAAAATATGAGGGGTAACTATACTATTTTGTGATTGTGTGTTTGGTTGTTGATAAATGTTGATAGAATTATTTTTGTTTCTTAGGTATCAGTTCATACTCACACAGCTACGATTCTAGGATCTCCCATAACATCCCGGATAAAGTCATTTAGTAATGTGCGTTCTGCGGTGTCCTGCAGTGGGAGAGTAACACGCGGTTCGTGGACCTGTTAAAAAAAAATTGTCATCGGGGGTAACTTTTATTCACCATAATATGTAACATTCATCTAACGTTGGTATATAAGTAGCTACTTTATAATTCACCAAAAACATTATTCTTTTAATGAGATAAGCAACTTGAGTATCAAACTTATACTTAATTATGAGACCATACGTTCTCGAGTGAACTGGCGGGTTTATTACCTTCCTGTGACGTACCTTTAGCTTGATTATGTCCTGAAGAGCAAGAAACTCTTGATACCGCCTCAAGACAAACCAACATTTTGTCACGTCCTCAACCACCACTTTGAAAACCTGGTGATATAATTGACAATCGTTAATGAACGTCATCTTGGTCTTATTAGACACTGATGATTAATAGAAATTATTGTAGATTTATTGTCATGATCTACAAATATTGATTTTATATGAAATTCCAAAGTTGTTTTGTGTGTGTGTGTGTGTGTTTGAGTATATATATATATATATATATAATATATATATATATATATATATATATATATATATATATATATATATATATATTATGTGTGTGTGTGTGTGTGTGTGTGTGTGTGTGTGTGTGTGTGTGTGTGTGTGTTGTGTGTATATATTATATATATATATATATATATTATATATATATATATATATATATAATTATATATATATATATGTGTGGTTGTGTGTGTGTGTGTGTGTGTGTGTGTGTGTGTGTGTGTGTGTGTGTGTACGCATGCATATATAACTCGTACAACGTCGTGTTGTCCCGCAACACGTGACCATCTCAAACGACGGAGTCTCCTCCGCTCCAAAGGGGCGAGACGCCTTCATGTCTCTGCCTCACCGAGGATACTGATAATTCTGAAGGAGGCAACTGATAAGAGCGAATGAAGGAGGCGATAAGGAGAGAGAGAGACCGAAAAGCATCGCCATTTAAAAAGGAAAAAATGCAACGAAATGTGAAGAATTCTATTGATTTCCTTCCCTGGCGTCCGGGGTGAGGTCAGCGGCGTGGCACGGACTTCCTCTGCCGGGGAATTCGGGAGGAAGACGCCAGGGATTGGGGATTGGGAGGGAAGGAGCCTGGGTGGCGGGGGGAGGGGGGGCGGAGTAGAATGATATGGTATCTCTCTCTGGCTTCTTGATTTTTCTTTTCTTTTTTGTAAGCATATGAGCCGTATTTATCAAAGGAAGTTTTATTTTTTTACGGGAGTTTTTTTTCTTTATTTGTTTTATTTTTTTTTTACGGGTGTGTGTGTGTATACATATAATGCAGCACTCTATTTTTTGTGAATAAAGGTGTCATTTTCGAGATCAAAGTAGACCGCAAATTAATGGTGATTTCCATGTGAACTCAAAATTGAAAGTTTAGGAAAATTCGGCGCCATACCATCCTGGATCAAAATTCAAATAATGAGCAACGATTGGGAAAAAAAGGGAAAAGCTTCAGGAAAAGAATGAGAGAAGAAGGAAATTAAAAATAAACAAAGCAGCTAGAGAGGGGGGAGAATGAAGTAACAGAATGAACAAAACAAGAAAACCACCAACCCACGAAAAAAAAAATCATCAAAAAAATCATTGCAGATAGAACAGCAAGGTCAAGAGGTCACCGGGTCTCCCAGTCCCTTGACCTTGCTCCTCTCTCGCCAGGGGAAGCGGACGACCACAGAGACAAGGCGGCCCACAGGTATTGCTCAAGTTGCAAGCCCTTATCTCCTCTGATTGCACTATCAACATGCCGCCTTTGATGCAGCTTGTTTGGGAGGGTTTGAGGAGGGAGAGGGAGAGCCAGAATGAAGGTGATATTAAAAGGGAAATATATAACGAACATCAATAAGATTAAATTGAATAATTATCATAAAGTAAAT